AACAATTAACTTTGCAGCTAGGTGCTGTGTCTCTGATAATAAAGTCTTTATAATATACATTTTTCCTTGTCTATATAGAATCACAAGATTGAAAGAATCTGGGTAGAATTCAATTTAAGAGTAAATTATCCTGTAAAGAGAGCATTGAATGAAATGGCTGGTAATGATGTATTTGACATGGAGGATGGTATTACAAAGTTTTCAATTTCTTGGGTTTCATTAAGAGTGTGCAAAGAAGGGTGTCGCCAGGTCATTGACTCATGGAATGCACATCATATCCAAGGTAAAATGTGATACATATGAATTGACGTATACCACAAAAATCACATCTGATAGCATTGCATTTACACAGTAAATCTACACCCTGATTTCCTTGATATTTTTTTAAGCTAAGCTATGTGATTTTTAGTAGGCATGGCCGAGCTAATTTTTTGCGCTACCAATTTCAAGTCCTTGTCTTGATCTGATATGTATTATCTATTATCAAACTTATTAATAATGCATGAGCTATTATTCCAATAACACTAGTGTTGTATCAGATTTACAACACAKTTGTCACAATTGACCCAAACCAACACTAGCAAAGGTCTCAGTTTTAGTGTCGCATCATAGACCTTCACTAGGTTTTGAAGCAATCAAAGACGGATAACAGAACTCGCTTATGCAACAGATGGCTTGCTTTCCATGTGGGATGGATAATTTTTCAAAATGTTCTGTGTTGCAGTAAATTGCGCATGCTTAATAGCGACTAAACTCAGCAGTTACCTTATTTGTCATTTTTCGTCATTTATCTCACTGTAATTCATGGTAATTTGTGTTGGAGTTTTATAAGTCGTTTACAACTAAAGATGGATAAAAAAAACAAATTATGTACCGCAAAGTATCTTGTATCTCAAGATTATTATTATTATTATCAACAACAATTCTCACGAGACTTCAAGTTAACAGTGGGAAGGGTTTGTTAGTATGCCTTTTGTCAGTCCTTTTCGAACGTCGAATATTAGTTACAAATTGTGACTTTTCTCCATGATCTTCACTTCAACAGTTCTGATTTTAGTCTCAGATGATAGCTCTAGAAGAATAGTAATAGTTCACTCAAAAAAAAATGGTTTTACGGCCCTACCCTCAAATAATTTTCTCACCTCAAGGACTCAAGGTTGTTAACAAGTTGTGCAGGTTTACTCTAGCGCTGATTGGCTGCTATGAGGAATTAACTAGTTTTTTTCTATAGTGCAAGGTTGTAATGACAAAATTGAAATATCCAATTTAAATAACTCAATAGGACTACGCTATGCACCCGCCTAGCTGACCATCTATTACCAAGAGCAATGTCTAATAATTCAATTAATTATACTGCTCCGTTTTAAGTAACTCCGGTGACAAACTCTTTTAGATATATTGTTGAGCCATTAATTTTGGCAAAATACGAGATAGCCCTTCAGGATGACGCAAATAGGGCTCGCTTGTGTAAACTGGTACTTGTTAATCATTTGAAAATGATTCTCTTTCAGGATCTGGTCGACCAAACGACCTTGAAGCAGCAAACAACAAGACTGCACCTRTTGCAATAAGAGAACTCCCATCAACAGAAGAGGTTGTTCAGATGTATGAGCAAAAAGGAGGCCACTTGACTTACTGGCCTGAGTTTGGATATGATCCATTGTCATTTTCCCCAGGCTTACGTCAAAGAAGAGTGAATATGTTTTCATCTCATTTTCCAGATATGGGTGTGATATTCTATAATGTAGTTAATAATTGTCCTGCAATGTTTCAACGGGCAATCATACTTTTTCGAGAATTAACTATCTATTTGCTTTCTCATCCTTGAAGTACAGTATGCATGATATGAAACTCTAAAGTATTTAACAGCACATTTTGAGCCTTTGACTAGTTTTATACCATTCTTTGATAAACTATACAATTATGTCCTGATATGAAAAGTTTTGAAAGTGGTACATTTTCATTGATTTTCTTGAAAAACTGACCTATGTTGTCAAGCGAATTGCCTAAACCAGTTAAACTAATTGAAGGATCCATTCGTTTGATAGGTGTTCATTTAAAAGACAATTTAAAAAATGCATAGCAAAATACTGCTGAAATTGTCTACATTTATCATTCTTATTCCCATCGAACACAATCGAATATCAATTTCCGATTGCTTGTCGACTGGTTTTTGAATCGAATACAGTCGTACTAATAATAGAGACAAAACTGTCGAACAGAATCCTCGTCAAAACAAATCCACGAAACTAAGCAAATGATGTACGATGTGTCTGGATTAAACAGTTTCAGTKATTAGTTGTTAGATATAAGTCTAGGTGCATCACATAATTGTAATCGTTTACTTTGGAATAAAAAATTGATAAATATATATCTATATAGTCCATTTACTCTACTTTTACACATACTCTCTCTTCAGGTCTTTGCACAAGAAGATCTGTTATCAAATAAAACAGACGTTTTTCGCTTTGAGTTATGGAGTATTCCCTCATATATCCCTCATTAATTTTGTCAACAGCACAATTCAATAAAAGGGGGTCGGGTGGCATGTTCTTTTTTTCTCCAACGCGATCAATGGTTTTATAAAAACGGTTTCGTGAAGGAGGGCTTAATTGTTGTACCCTGACAAGTCTACGGAGCGGTAAAAATACGCAAGTTCGGCAAATGTTCTCAAAATTTTGCAAGTATGCAACCTAGAGAGAGATGGTACTTCACTATACAATCAATTATAAGTTCCCGCAATGAGATTTTTTGCATCACCCATGGCTTTCCTAATATTATGGCCTGATTCGAGAAAAGACCACTTCAAGGCATTTTCCTTGGTTAAATCTTCCCTTGACATCTTTTCAAAAACTCGAGCATAGTGGCCTTATCCTTTGTACCAATTTGAATGAATCGGCCATCTATGGGATCTCAAAATCGATTTTAAAAATCAGCAGTAGTAAAGGGTTTAAGAGTGGAGGGTATCAAGTTCCGGATCTAATAGGGAAGCCCACAGGGAAATAGGAAAAAAATAAAATTCGAGGAAAGGATCACGTGACAGAAGTCACAGAAAGAGGAAATGAAGACAGGRATCCCGGTAAGAGAGAAAAGAGCCAATGGAAGAATAAAAAAGGTATGACGTCAAAAGAGGAAGTGTGCAGGAGACGTCCGGTGTTTCGTGGGTTCCTATGCCGGTGACGATCGTAGCGTTGCTGTTGGCTGGGGGAGCGTCTCCTTCGTAGACTACCTGGATGCTACCGTCCTTCTTGGGCTGTGGCAATAGTGGCGGTGGTGCCTGTCCTGGAGTAGACGATTGCGATGGCGTTTCTTGATTACTGCTGGGTGGGTCTCGAAGACTTTATAGTTCTAGAATGGGGTGGCCCTTGAGGTGGCCCTGGTACTCTTAATGCGCCTTGATGGTCAATCTTAACAAATTGTTGAAATCCTGGAGGATCAGGGTAACCAAAGATTGTGCCTCTCCTTAATGTGGTGAACCAAAACTCTATTCGAAGACAGGTTCGACATCTTGTAGTGCCACGTGTTGGTCTTTGGCACCAGTAGGCGGATAAGCACCATGACGTGTTCTTCCAGCTTGTGAAATTCCCCAAGTCCATCTCGCTGCTTCGTCATCGTGAAATGGAGTTCGTAAAAAGTCTGCGGTTTTTATCGCTGATGGGGGCTTTCGTYGCGTCCCAGSTGATGGAGGAGATCCTCAACCCTGTCCTGACGCACATAATCGATCAAACAGGAGTACAGATCCATGTTGCCGTGTTTGCCTTCTCGTCCAAGTCGTGATGAGACAACATGATTAAATCAATAGCATGGAGAAAAGGAGCTGGTATTTTATCCAGGTATTGAGGTAGCTAGCTCAGCTCGGTCAAGGTCGTCGATGCTCTAAAGAGTCGGAGGCTTCATGTGCTTCTACTAGTCGCCAAAGTGGTAGCGGATTTTGTTGACCACGCCCACCCCCTTGTCCTTCTATAGCTGCTGCAACTTTTCCAGCCAGCCATCGAGCTTGCCTTGAAAGTCGCACATGCGGTCCAACGCGCATGACGTACAGTTCGTGACCCAAGATGGTGTAGCCTGAATTCCACACTCGAAACGGGATAATGTTGTACGTACGGCACGGCGTTGTTCATCCAGCCGTTGTTGACAAAAAAGTTGTAATCAAGTAATCTTCGCGGTCCATYACCTTGTGGGGATGGTATTATAGTATTCTTCCTCCTCCTCAAACCCGCTAACGTTGTCGCTGCGTTGTTTCGTCCCACTCATGACCCCAAAAAATGTCGAAAGAGTTTGAGGTTCAAACAAATTTAATTCCTCACAAAAGACCGCTTCATATTTTCTTCTTTTTTCGAGATCACGAGTCTCCTTCTCTTGCAACCAAGCCCACGGCATTGAGTGTATGAACGCACGAACAGGGGTCGTAGGACTGAGTCGGTCCACGATGCCGTTTTTCAGGAAGGTGGTGAAGACATTGGTCATGCATCGCTGATCACACTTGAGCCAGGTGTCRCTGTCAAAATCATCGCTGTCCTTGAAGAAGGCGTTCAGTCCCGGCGAGTACGTAGAGTTGCAAAACTGTGTGCACGGGCCAACTGYTATTGATTCATTTCCTCGTACGAACGACCACACTTGAGAGAAGTCTTGTTTCCGTCTGTTTTGCCCTGAATCATCATCCAAACGGCACGTGGAAGAAACAGTTGTGATCGAGAAACCTTGAGCAGGCTCCACCAAGGGTCTTAATCGGGGGGGGGGGGGTCTCAATGTC